ATTCTTTCTATTCTTTCTTATTCTTTCTATTCTTTCTATTCTTTCTATTCTTTCTATTCTTTCTATTCTTTCTATTCTTTCTATTCTTTCTATTCTTTCTATTCTTTCTATTCTTTCTATTCTTTCTGCTTTTTTAATTTATATAGATAGATTAAAAAGGATTCTTAACAGATAATCTGTAGATTTTAAAAATTTTTAATAAATAATCTATCTGATTTATAAATTATTTATAAATTATCTATTTATTTTATAATTTAATTAGCTTTAATTTTTTACTGTTTTTAAATAAATTATTTTTTTATAATAAAATTGATATAGACTATTAACTTAGAGATCAGAATATAAAATAAAAATATTTTTAATTTTTTTTGTTTAAAAATTTTTATTATTATAAATTTATAATTTTATTATTAATTATTTATAACTTTTTATTTAAAATATCCCAGTTTACTAATATTTCTTTATTATTATATTGTAATAATTATTTAAATATTTTTAATAACAGTCCGGTTTTTTTTATAAGATTATATCTGATTTTTTAATTAGTTAATAAAATATTATATATATAATAAAATTTATAATTAATTTTAACTTTTTTCAACTAATTCTACTATTAAAATTTATATTTTTTTAGTTATATTTATTTTAATTATAATAATTATTATATAATTTATTTTAATATAGCTGCTAATAATTATATTATTTAATAGTTTTAAATCAATTTTAACATTCATTATAGTTTGATACTATAAATCCAGCATTATAAACTAGATAAAAAAGTAAAGAAGTCATCTGTCTATGTTCAGTTTTACTTTCATTTTTACTTTTTTTGATTATTATTTTATTCTACTGCTGCAGTATCTGCTGCAGCTATTTTGCTGTTGTTAAAGCTTTATACTGCAGACTGAAATCAGCAATTTATCTTAAAACCAGCACTATAGATTGTGTAGGGATGCTAAAGGGTCTCTATTTACTCTTATATAAATAATACTCCTATTTAGTCCCTAGTTCTGTTTTTGATACTTTTCTACGGGCTCCGGATATCCTGCTGCTGCGGCATCTGCCGCAGCTATTTTACTGTCGCCGAAGCCATGCCGTAGACTGGGGCCGGCGACTCACCTCAAAAACTACAAATCGTGTAGGGGGGCCTTTGGCCCCCCGCTCATTCTTGTATCTTGATATATAAGGATGCGCTTTGTGAGAACGGACAATTGAGTAGATATGATAGCACAGATAAATGTAGACCGTAGAGCGTTCTATTGCTTTTGTTGTGTAGGGAAGAGGTCATGCATCATCAAACCATATAAGCTGCTCACTTTGCAATGGCGTGTGGGCAATTGGGTCCAAGCACTAACACTGTTGGGACAGCGGTCTGAAAATGCAAGGCTGGTGAGTAAAACACTGTTGGGACAGCGGTCTGAAAATGCAAGGCTGGTGAGTAAATCGCAAGAAGGGGGCTGAAAGATTCCCTGAAGTCGGGACGCTGAAAAGAACTCAAAGGAACGCCATATATATGCAAACGCTTGAAAAGATAAATGGTTGGCTGTGTCCATAGACTGTGTGCCAAGCCGAGGAGAACCTCAAGATCAAAGTTGGTTTTTGTCGTGCTCGCGTTGTTCACTGAAAACTCGTCGACTCATTTCCAGAACAGCTTCAAATCCTTCTCGGCCTCGCTTCGCGTTCTGACTAAAGCGTTCAACACTTGCCTCCTCGACTTTGTTCTTGATTTTCTGCCAACCCCCACAAAGAGCGGTAATCTTTGCTTCTTGGCTGAACTGTGTACTTGAAGATGGATCCAGCAGTGATGGTTGGTAGACAACGGTTTCCCTGACACTGAGGACATTCGACCACGTGAGGTTTGTCGAGCACATCGTGACCATTTTGGAAATTGGATCAACATATGATACTTCGTATACATAAGACGTAGCGCTGCCTCCAAATAGTGAGAGTACCCATTGTGGCACGGACTGATTACAGGTGATCAAACGTTCGGTGCGCAGCTGAGACGAGACCAAGGCATTAGTGATACTGGTTCAATCTGAAGCCGGATCAATAGGACCAAGGCACATACTATACCGGTTTGCATATCCACGCTTCGAGAAAGAGTGTCTACCGCCACGACATGTGTGGACTTGTCATTCCAAGGGCAGTACTTGCGCCAGTTTGCGGTCGATACCTCCTCCCACGAATAATCAAATGTGCATGACGAAGAAAAGACCTTCATGACGGACAGGAGATGGCGGGCAGGACTTTGTCTCCAATTCTCAAATGGACAAAATTGGGCCGTGTTTCGAAATCAACTGCACAAGAGCGTGCGTAGGACACTGCGGCGATGACAAAAGTCAAACAGCGAGAAGGGCGGGTGAGATTCTAATAAACACCCCGACCACTACAAAGAGGTGGCAAAGGATAATAACTACAAAGGCCAATCAATCAAGAAAAAAGTAAAAAATAGAGAGAAAAGAAAGAAAATCCCCTTCCGATAATGAGGTGCGGTGGAGGCACTGGAACAAAAGCATGTGGCGACAGCTTTGTAATGACTGAAGGATTAGTTATATGCGCTAGAACATTGTTGAAATTGGAAATTTTTACATTCGTAGACTAACCCCGGGTGGCGCCAAGGATCGGGCTTTCCCGGCATGATCAATGAAGTGAGCTAACTACGGCGAACGATGGCGGCCCACAAGTGCAGAATAATATCAAGCACAAAAAGCCCCCAGGCTTGATACAGAGACGTCACAGCCATCCAAGTTCTTTCTGATCGCTCTGCGAAACAAATATGTATGGCCATGTGCTCATATCGACATCAACAGCATTTCCGCTGGGAGAATTTGTGGCTATCTTAATTAGCACATAGGACGAAGTCTCAAGGGATAAGAGTGCATCTTTTCGAGTAGGGATCGAATAACTACTTAGTACTCTGTTGTTACTTATTGCTATTGATCCCTTGTCAGGGAAGGGTCGCCTCCATCTCAGAAATACCTTCAATTTATAGATAACAAAACACATATACTAATTATAATTTTTATCATAAATAAGTCAATTACTTAAGAATGTTGAACTATAAGATTAAAGAGTTATATTTCTTACACTTAGATTTATATATATACAAGTGAAAAAAACTGATATTCATAAATCATTAATAAATTTAAAACAGACTTAGAAAAAATAATAAGCATATTCATAAGTTGATTAAAACTTATTAAATTTGTAGATTTTAGAAAAATAGTTGGATCTTTAAAAAAAAGATTATCTAAGATGAAATTAATAAAATAAAAAAAGATTACATAATGTTAAACAGAAACAGAAGTATATATAATATAAATAATGTAATAATTATAAAACAGAATATTTACAATATGTAATTTCTAATTTCCATTAAATTATAATATGAATAATTTAAGTAATTTAAATAATTTAAATAATGTCAAGGCGCGGGCTGTGTTGTTAGGTACTGGCTAGCTTAAATAATAGAAATAATAGATCTAATTAAAATATTTTAAGAACTATTTTTTAATTTTGGTTAGCTATTTTATTAAATTATTTTTAGATTTATAAATAAAATATAGCTTAGAAAGCTACAAACACGGAATCTAAAACAGAAATAAAAGAAATATATAAATAGAATAAATAGAATAAATAGAATAAATAGAATAAATAGAATAAATAGAATAAATAGAATAAATAGAATAAATAGAATAAATAGAATAAATAGAATAAATAGAATAAATAGAATAAATAGAATAAATAGAATAAATAGAATAAATAGAATAAATAGAATAAATAGAATAAATAGAATAAATAGAATAAATAGAATAAATAGAATAAATAGAAT